CAGGAATAACTAGGCAGGAAGGGAGGAACAAATAACACTTTTTTGAACCAAAGCATTAAAACATGTTATTTTCTAACTGAAAATATAATTTTTCCTAAAATGAAGAACTAAGGAGAAAACAATTGACTCACTTTCAGACAAAGCAGTAACAATGAAGACCAATGGACAAAATAAGGAGGTGAGGAAGAGGAGGGTGTTCAAATGGATGATGATGGGGCAGTGTACTCCTGGAAAGTGATACATGTGGTTTTCAATCTCTCTTGGCAAGGAGAGGCAACTATGCTTAGACTTTTTGCTGTCTGGATGTTGCTGCATCACTGAACTGTTAAATGAGAGGGGACAGGGAACTTCCTTCTCCCCTCAAATGATCTTCATTGAGAACTAGTTGTGAATTGCAAATTATTTCATGATGACTGGAGGTGGCCTTTGGTTTACCAAAACCAATTCAAGCAGGCCAGCAGTAATCCTGTGCACCAGTGTTAACTGTTTTTCTCAGTTCATGGCAGACTGACAGAGGCAGCTCTTGCCCTTGATTATACTCTAGTCCCCTTGTTGTTATGGTATCAAGACCACTCTACCATTTGAGATATGGTATCAGGCTTCTCACTACAATCGCTTATTTATGGTCAATACTTTCAATATTCACATCTTGAGAAATTAGTATTGGAGGTGGAGTTTTTTATCAATAAGCTTGAATTGTATCAGTAAGCTTTGTTGAAACCAGTATTTCCTTTTAGCCCACTGAAGAGCTTGGATGAATACAGAATTAAGCATTTTTTACCAGGTATGCTTTCCCACTGAACACATTGCCCTAGAGATTTGAACAGGTCTCTCTTTCAATAAGATTTATTAGCTTTTAGATGAACTTTCTGCCCCCTATTTTCTCCATGGGTGCACTGTTAGGCAACTTGAGACAAATGTAATTTGTTTGATAGTATCTTTAAGTTTCATTAATTCTTAGAATAGCGTACTTCATGTTTGGATGAGCGTGGCACAGAGAATACAAGAACCAGACTGTTTTCTAACGTGGCTGTTGATCTCATGGAGGCTTTGGGCTCATCAGCAAGCAGTAGTTCTACACTATGATTATGCAGGGATTAAGCTGTATTCTCAGTTTTGCTTTTAGACAAATACATTCAGTATTAAAACATTTAAATATTTCATTAAAATATTTACATCTTCTCTCACCAATGTGATAATCATGGTATCATGTGGCATCCTAAAACTCTGAATTTTCATTTTTTATGAAAAAGATATGTGAAAATGCTGAAAGATAAGTTTTGGCAAATGAATGGAACCGATTTAAAAGCAAACCAAAACTGTGCTTGTCCATATGTTGGGAAATATTGCCAAAGTAATTTGTTTTTCTTTCTATATTAGGCTTGTTTTATAAAATATGCTTATCAAAGCCTATTGCAACACGTAGAATACTTACAAATAAATAACATTACAAGATTTAGCCATATTTATATAAAATAAATATTTTCCAAACCACATTACAGAAATCTCTTTTGTCACCCTTAGGCAAAAATTTGTATAAACAGTATGGAATATGCCTACAATGTTCTTTGAAGGCCAAAGTCTCTTCTGAAGAAGCAGAAATGTAGCAAGAGAAATGAGCTAGAGGCATGATGGTCCTACGGAGTGATGAAAGAATTGATTCTCTCATTCTTAAGAATAGAGAGAGGGTACAACGTCACATTCTTTATGCCAGCTATACTTCTGTGATCTGTGTCAAAACAAAGGAAACAGAAATCCTAGCAAAAATTCTAAGCTGTGTCATTTCTAGGAAATTTTTTAATGGTGAACAGAAGTGTGAAGGGAATAGTTTCTAAATTTTCTAACCTCATTCCTGTGGATTCTGGTCAGCATTTTATTTTTTTTACAAAGAGGAGGGGGAAGCTCTTTCATGATGCTGAACTGAAAGTCCCAGTGGTACAGCCATTTACACCTTTGCTTCACTGTATCACTGTGATAAAGTATTGCATTTACTCAGTTATGTTAACCATATGCTTACCTTTGTTCTTGTAATATTTATGCAATCAGGTCCTAAAGAAGCCTGTTTGCTGCAAGGGTTATTTTAAGTATTTCTTCTGGCTGAATCTTTCTATAGGAGGAGGACAAACTCCCTGCTTCTGGAGCCTGAGTGCTTGAAGTTGAGTGTAATTAAACCACTGATATGGCTGTACATCAGAAAGATATCCAGATACATTACACATTGAACAACCTCTCCTATGAAGCTAGCATGATCTGATGCTAAATATTTTACTAGTTTTTAAGCCCTTTATGAATACTTCCATTTTTTTTTAATCTGCTAGAATCCAGACAGATACAAATCCATCTTTACAGAACACTTTGTTGAAAGTATGAAGGCTACCAAAACAAAAATGCATGTACGGGCATGAATTCCCTTTCTGCCTTTACTTAAGAAACGTGTATAAGTATCAACCATCAAAAGGTAAGAGACAATGCTAAATTTAATTATGTAAATAATCTCAGGAGTTAAATTTAGTTTTGTATGCTTTTTCTGTTGCGTGTAACTAGTCTGTGGTTAGTTTTAAAAATTAATTAATGTAATTAATTAATTAAAATTAATGTACATATCTTCTTACAGAAGAATTTTTAGAATATTTTACTCTTTAAATTTATGATGACATTTATTTCAATGCAAAAACCTGTAGCCATTGGCATTATCTTTTATGGGGGCAAGTTGGCAGTAAAACACATTTCCCATTATCTCAGTTGTTTAGTGGCATTACTTCCTCTTGATATGAATGCACAAATCCCATAAAATGAAGAAAGTTTCATAGCTTTGAGGTGCAGTGGGTTAGGCATTGGGTGCTTGCTGCATGTCTTTACACATCTTTCCCTTTCTTATTTAGTCCTGTCTTGAGGAAACACTAAAGAAAGGAAGATTTAATATGGGAAAGAAAGGATCGATGTTCTAGCTTTCATCCAACTGAATGAATACTTTAAGCATCCACTTCATAGGAAAAGTTTAAGTAGTTCCATGGGTGTTTGGAAATATAAAACAGTAAGGCTTGATTCTGTCCCTAGTTCAAATAATTGGCAAAATTCCCATGGTGAAGAACTAGAAACTAATTAGTGGGTAAAGCAAATACTATTGAATGTTACTTAAGCACTAAGTATTACTCTTCTTGCTGCTCAGCAAAACACAAGAATATTTGCTGTCTAAAGAGCGTATCTGATAAAATCTGATAGAGAACTTGGACAGGGGGGTTCAAAACCACTCAAAAGTTTAATGATCAACAGAAGCTAGCTCTGAGAAAAGAAAACACTAGAAGAGAATGTTAAACAAGCCAATGGGAGTTTGCCTTTTATATATGGAATAAACGGCAGGACTTAGACCTTCAGTCTGGCAAGAAAAATTAGAGTCACAAAACACAAATAGTAGTAAATAAATAAACGATAAAAATTAGTGTATGTCAGCTTTTCTAATGTGTTTTTCCTTATGACCTTGGAAACAATTGCTAAATACAAGCTATGTAAAAGCAAACAAAGCAAAGAACACTTTGTTTTTGACATGTTCCTGCAATCATTATGGCACAATGTTAATGTTAAAAAAGTAAGTAAATAAACACAAATTTTAATCAAATAATTAAAATGACACTTAAGCTCTTACCAAACCAATAAAAGTCAAACTCTTAGGTCTTAAAATAATTTTGTGTTCATTTGAGACTAGTTAGAAAAGGAATCAGACTACTTGCTACCTCTGCTCCCTCTTGAGCACTGACTGCACAGGCATCAGAACTTCTGTGAAACGTTTAATCTTTTACTTGTGTTGATGAACTCTTGTACTGCTATAGCAGTTTCCTTCAGGTTAATTTGCTCCCAACACAATGTCCATTTGAACCAATGGAGATAAACTGACTGGCGTCAGTAGGCAATGTGTTAGGCAGAATTGCAAATACTGCACTTAAAGGTACATGGAGACTTTTAATAAAGGAGCCCTCACTCGGATGGGGCATGTGTATATATTAAGTCAGATCCTCAAGATCCACATGCATCATGTCAGTAGGGTGAACTTGTCTTCCCATCACAAAAGCCAAGGTTTGCAGGAGGATTTAGTACTGCTACGAACATTCACACTTATTGGGCACTAATTCCCATTCACACTCAGGAAGCATGGCCACTGCTGCCTTACTGGCTTTTCATTGTTAAAACACTTAGGAATACCCTGGAATAAAATTACTATCGTTTGGTATTCTGCACAGATATCAAAGAAAGCACTGCCAATCCAAGTATAAGCCAGCATATGTATTCTTTTTCCCAGTCGTTATGACAGTAGTAAGAGAGAACAAACTCTTAAAACAAGCAGGAGAGAATACAAGTATTTCCCCACAAATTTTTTGAGGAAGGGTGTCAGATGACATAATTCTCTGTTTACGGTTTCCCCTTCAGTTGTGCTTTTTTGCTGTGAGCCCAGCCACGGCAACATGCATACCTACAGGAAAGGGAGAAGGATTCTGCCTCACAACTGAGTAGCAATAACCCTGACTGACTTAGAAGCCATATTGTTCTATATTTATGCCAATAAATTGAAATGCAGTTATACCATAGATAAGTACTGAGCAAAGAATGTGTTAGCTTAAGCTCAATGAAATATAAGTATTAATTTTATGGCTTCTCAAGCAGAGGTAGATCACATCTGAAAGGACTTAGGGCATGGAGAGAGTTGGTATGGAAGAATCTTCATTAATAAAGTAGATACAATCTAATCTTAAATATTCCAACAGCTGTGCTCCTATGGAATTGAATGTTGTGGTCCTTTGATATTACTTTGGTTGCTATGATGAAAACCAGGTCAAAATGGGAATAAACAAAGGAGAGACATAAGAAAGAAGAAAAAGTGTGACTGATCAGAATTATCAGTTTGTTTCAGTATGAAACAAACCAGTGAGTAGGAAGTGCTTATACAGAAAATATTCTTACCTGCCAAAGATGAGATATTAATGATTACTCCTCCATCACCTCCATTTCCTTTTCTCATGTATTCTAGGCCAAGGTAGGTTCCTCTAATCACAGATGTCTGATATAGGGGAAAAAGGGATGATTATATTAAAAAAAAAATATTTATTTTGTGCTCCTAAAAACTGAATCCTGCTTTATTTGTGGTGCTGAGAGCCTGTATTGCTTTACCAGTATTTCATTTATGCTTGGAAGATTATAAACACAGATGACATTCCACAGTAATGGAACTCAATAACTTCAGAAGCCCAATTGCAATGCATAGAAATAATAGCAGCTTAATTATTTTATTATTTTTCTTATTAAGATATCAATAATCAAACTAAAATATTATAATGTGAAAGAAATACTGTGAAGGAAACAGAATATAGAATATAGAATAAGTAAATAATTTATAGACAAAACACACACTTTATCTGAAGATATAAGTAGTGGATGAACTGATTCAATTTCTAGCATTTTTATTGAGACAAACTGTTCTACATTCTAAAGAGGTACAGACTGAATGACACTGAAGGTAACACTTATAACTTACTGTTATAAGTGTGCATTTGATATTCAATTTTTTTTTAAGAAAGATCTTTGAGGAAGAAAATTTTCCTGAGACTGTATAAACTTGACTCCTGGTTTTGAACCCTACTGCAGTCAGAACTTCTGCTGGGATTCGCTTCACCAAACCTCAGACATTTAAACTGAGATGCCTAAAGGTATGTTGAGCTTAGGGTTGTCAGCCTCCTAAACAAATCAAGTTATTTAGTCTTTCCCAGGGAGTAAGCCACTTTACTAGAGAGTTTAACAAGTGGTAATAGAAAGGCAACAGACAGTGCTGCTAGTGGAAGATGCTACCTTTAGTGAAATGTTGCAATATTACTGCATTACTGACGAATTTCATAATTACTAACTGATTTTGTTTGATCTCTCCATAATCAGTTCTCATTTGCTTTACAATTTCTACTTAAAATTAACAAATGTATTGAGTTATTTTTGTTTTTATGGAAATATTATTTCCATTTTAAAATGAGAACTCTGTTTATATTTTATTACTGTTTAATACTGTTTATTTGACCCAAATAAATTAGCATATTCAAAAGACGTAGTGGCCCTACAAATATGTTCACATCTGCATACAATTATTTCACTGAGAATTTTGACCAAGGAATATCTACAGAATTGTGAATCATGGTGAAGGAAATCTCCCAAAGTAATAAAAAAACAAGGTAAAAAAGAAGATCTTTAGTGACTAAGCATACTGGGAAGAAAAAGCCTTTAAAATCAGAATATTAAGTATACTTTTATCATTATGTAAATTCACAAACAAAAAATTGAATAATTTTAATACAAGTATTACATTTCATTTTTATTAGCTGATCATTTTAGACATATGCGTTATAAAACATAAAGTAAAAATCCTAGTTCAAGTTCAGCTGCCATTTGCACTTATTAGTTTTAACAGGAATCAGCTTTGGAAGACTGCATGTTCTGCTTTATTAATATTGCTTGTTTGTTGCCCAAGTAACATGAAGTTAAGCTACCCCTTGACAGAGGTAAAACAACTTGAGACCTCATTACCAAGTTTTCTTTGGAATTCTGATAAAGAATCAGTTTTTTTTCATTTTCTATAGTTGCAGCATTTTATGTGATATTTTCAATATCAGTATATTTTTGGTATACAAATTTCCTGAAAAAATGTTAAAAAAATCACAAAATATGAGTAGTTAAAAATTCTGAAATAACACTTTAAACTTTTCTTAAGCACAAAATTCCCATAAAAAGCTTTTTTGTTTTTCCCCTGGAAAGTTTTGTCTTAAGTAACATCCTTTTAAAAATGTTCTGATTAATATCAAAAGAATGTTATTGATTAAATGTTTTAACAAAAGCTTTCCAAAGATCTGCCTTCAATGGCTTGTAAAATACCAAACTAAATCTGATTTCTCTTGCATGACCTGGAAAGTTTCAGAACTTTTATAAATGCAGCCAAGTGCTGTTTAATGTTGATTGTGACGTGTAAATTTTAAAGGATTTATTGAAAAACAAGATTCTTAATGCCCAGTACTGTTGGTGTAAGCTATAGTTTCTCTCAACATAAACTCATTGGCAGTTCAACTGAAATTAGATTTGCACTTAAGAGTGGATGGAGTTTTTTAATATATACATATGTACACAAGACATTTTAGAAAGGAAGGGGTTAATGCTGTGTATGGGGAGTAGGTGCAGGTCCTGTCATGCCCTGGAGCAGTGGCTCAGCCTGCTGATCAGAAGAGAATTCCACTTAGGATGATTAGAGGAAATAAATCAGTTGGAGAAGCAAGTACATTGGGGCTCCTTGAGGATTTCTCTATTCCTCCAGCCTTCTCATTCAAAGATATAATAGAGCTGGATGAGTCTTTTGCCAAACCACAGTTAAAAGACAAGGGAAAAGTGGGTATCTTGACTCTCCTATCAAAGTCACTGTACTGCTCTTTTTCTCTCTAGACTCCATTAACTTAGCATTTCTTTAGGAGGCTGGGGAAGCCTTCTCCTTTACATAGGTATTTTGAGGGGTTGTCTTCAGAATGAATGCAGACATTCATTCAGATATTGCCCTTACACCTGCTGTTATCCTTGCAAAAAAACTTCTCGTTGAGTGTGGCTGATCTTGGGTAACATGGCTATTTCTGATGCTTGGGCTAGTAACATAAAGAACTATTCTGGAGATAAACTGTGAACCAAATATATAGGGTGAGAAGAAACTAGCTGTCTCCACACTCAGCAGATGGCTCTTCAGATGAAAGACACTGTGTGATAGATCTCCTATTCTCTTGCCAGAATTCTCCTCTTTCCAGGAGAGAAAGTCCTCTCAGTAGTACTCCAAGGAAGATCAGTAATGGCTGAACTTACTGTAATGTGAAAGTCATACAATCTGTGCTTAGAAGTCTCAAATGGGAAAGAGGTTTTCCAAGGAACAATAGTCTTTGGAGTATTCTTTTCCAAAGAACAATAGCATATTGGGCTTTGTTTTTGTTATGAAATCCATCTTTGCAAGTGCATAAATTGCAACCTCAGGCCTCCTCTCATATGAAACTTTGGATTCCTATTTGTTGACATCAGAATACTTCATCTGAATTCTAGAAGGCAGCTTATCAGCTATTACTTCACTATAACATGAAAAACACATCAGAAAGTAAAACTGGCAAAGAGTGATGTGGTTTGTGCAGCACAATTTCCTGGCTTTGGGATATGACAAAAAATATCTGCAATTTGCCTTTCAACATATTGAAAGAAACTAAAGAATTCTTCAGATTGTGTAGGTTGCCATGTATACTTTTAAGAATAAGAATTTAATCCCATTCTCTTAACCAACAATAATTCATAGTTTGTCTATTGCAAATAGAAATTCTGGGAAAATTAACATTTAAAATTCCGTCATTAAAGAAAAAATGTCTGACTTGTTTTAAAATGAAGATATGCTGTCAGACTTAACTCTGTACGACAAAACATGTTGCATTTTGGAATTGAATTTTTTATGATTCCTTTGTTTACAACTGCATTTAGCTGCACAGGTATTATCCATAAACATGCCAAGAACAAAGAGTAGGAATGTAGTCAATTTGCAACTAAATGCAGGTAAATCGAAAATTTGGACAGCTGACTCTCAGCTAGTTTTTTTGCTCCTGGCTACCAAAAACTAGTATCATTATAATCAGAAAATAATCTAAATTGTTGTCCTCCTAGCTGTTGAAAACCCTGTGAATTTACTAACACTGCTGTTTGTTTTCTTACCAGAATACAGTGTTTTACTATAGCATGTAATGAAGATGGACCATCAAGGTGCACTGCAGCTCTGAGAGCACTCCCAAGAGAGGCATTTTTATTCTTCAACTGCCAGTAAATAATTTAAGATTCTTTTCAATGTAGTTATAATGGTGAGTGTGGGAATGTCTCCTAGTATTAGCTGCCAAAAGTTACAGATTTAAATTAGAGGAGATCAGCCATTATGAAGCACCTATGAAGTACAGTAATAAATCCAAAACTTAGTATCTGACAGCACGGCAAACTTCACAAAATAATTGTGCAAATAAGTAAAACATTTGCAGTTGCTTTTGGATGTATCATATCAGTAATCAGCAACTTACTTAACAAATCATTAAATAGCAATTTAGGTATCAGTGTCAAAATCAGAAACAAAACTTATAAAATCTGTGATTCTCGACTTTCGTATGTATCCCACGGATCTATAGTTTTAATTGTATTGTTCTAAAAGAAATCAGATATTGAAAATCTGATTCTAATAAGACTCCAGGTCTTCAATAGAGACCTAATTCATTTTTTATGACATTAGGAACCATTTTTAGGAAGTGTTGTACTATGGTCTTGTATTCCAACATAACACATTTAAGTAAATTTTCATACTCTATGTTTCATTTTAGCTTGATCTATTAAAAAAAAAAAAAAAAGTGTTCTTCAGTGATCAGGCCAAGAACATCATTAATCATCATTCTTAAGCGTCAGCTGCTTTGAAAGTAATTTAGTACACAATGCTTTTTTCCTAGTGTTTCAAGGCAGATTTTCCAACTGACATAGTTTCTTATACCTATTTAATAAGGTGTCCCTTGCCACCTCTTGTCTGATACTTCTGCTGTTGCCCGATGCATGCTAATATTTTATGCTGAGAAACTATGTCTGTGTTCCTTCAGTGCTGAAGATGACTACTTGTGCTGGTTTTAGCTAGGGTAGAGATAATTTTCTTCACAGTGTCTGATATGGGGCTATGTTTTGGATTTGTGCTGGAAACAGTGTTATAATGCAAAGATGTTTTTTTTACTGCTGAGCAGGGCTTACACAGAGTAGAGGCCTTTTCTGCTTCTCACACCACCCAACTTCTTATGCTGGGGGTGCATAAGAAGTTGGGAGGGGACACAGCTGGGACAACTCACCCCAACTGACCAAAGGGATATTCTATACCATATGACGACGTGCTCAGCATATAAAACTGGGGGAAGAAGAGGGAAGGGGGTGATGTTTGTAGTGATGTTTGTCTTCCCAAGTAACTGTTATATGTGATGGGGCCCTGCTTTCCTGGAG